TTGTAGAGGCCTCTGAGGAGCTACCAGTCAGAAGTTCATTGCATTCACTTAATGGGGTATTATATATTTCTCCCTTTCCTTGATATATTAATTTTATGCCCTGGACAATTTTATAATTATTTGGACTCCTTCTTTACGGTAATCACATTGTTATCTGATCTAGTTGTTGTTGTTTAATATATTCTGTGTTTTTACTACTCCATAAAAACATACATGTAAGTACAAATGGCCTGCCAATCTTGAATTCTTCCTCCCTTTGAAGCAGTCCTAGGATCCCCTACTTACATCTTGAAACAGTGATTCAAAGTAGGGGACTTGTTGATCCTGTGCATAAATTCACCAGTATCTATCTTCTTCCTCCCAAGATATAAAACATAACAAAGCACAATCTGTTCTCTTTGTCTCCTCTTACCTTCCGATGAAACTAAACAAGTATTTCCTAATGTTGAATTCTGGACTAAGGTGCATGCTTTTTTTGACATCTAGGGGTTCTACAGAGCACTTTTGCATTTCCAAGAATATGTCACATCAAGCAACCATCTGTGGCTGCCCCAAACAGATAATTATCTGGCCCAAATACATAATCAATATATGAATGACAAGCAGAATCCATTAAAGTGAAGGCAGAGAAGTCAGGATTTCTTCCTAGTTGACACCCGTAATGGCCAGTGGCCCCCATATCAGTGAAACAGTGAATCCGCCACAGGTTCAAATTCAGGCTTTAAAGGAATTCTCCAGAGGCTCAACCTGATTCCTAAGCAAATTTCTTGCATGATTTTGACAGTGTCACTTGCCATCAAACCCTTGCTGGTAGCTCTAATGGTACTTCCCAATTTAAGTAAGGAAAGCTAGGAAATACTCAAGTACATTGACTAAGACCTATTCAACTAAAATAATGTACTGTATTTTGGTAACTGTGGTGGTGTGTGTATGCACACATGTGCAAATGTTTATATGTATGTGTCTGTATATCCATATCTATCTATAATTTTGAATTGTTTAATTTCATTTTAACTTTCATATCTTTTGGATTTTTAACATTATGTTTTATTTTTGCAAGCCACTTTTAATCCCAAATTGCAAGAAAGGTAGGATAGAAATAACAATATGAAGTCACACAACAACAAAATTAACTATGATGATGGTAATAATGATGATGACATCACTGAAATTAGATGTAAAAGACACATTATTATCTAATTAGCATCAGCTTCTAACCAAGGTAAAACTCAGTGTGAACTCCGATTGAAAAACTGTGTACTCATGGATTTGACCTGGTTCACTAACCCTCAACTTATGGCTTGGCTAGTGCCTGATGGTGTTAAGTTCAGGCTCAGTTTTAGCCACAGTGAGGCAAATGCTTCAGGTGGTGGCTGTTGGAGGGTTTTTCCTGTACCTTCTAAACCAGGAGTGAAGTGTTGGAATTTGGCGCTGTGTCATTTTTCACTGCCAAACCATGTCTGGAAAGGGGGGCTTTGGGATTCTCTGAGGACAGGAAAGGCAAACTGTGTGGGTTTGTGTGTGGTCTGGGGTGATTTTCCATGGTTTTCAGGTAGAATATTGCTTGAATAGACTTTTTATTTTAAAAAATAACAGGAGTTCCAGTAGCTACAAAAAGAAAATTCAGCATCTCCATGCAGGCCAGTATCATAGAATCACAGAGTTAGGGAGGAATGCAAGGGTCACACACATAATTCAAACCTTATCATGCAGGATGAATCACCTCCCCAGCCCTACCTTAAGGATTCTGATTTAAAACATGCTGCTAGTCTTGAGTCTGATAGAAAGTTTTAATCTGAGAAAAGGTTCAGTTGACACTTCACTGGAATGGATATTAGAATGTCATGCAGACTAGGAATGGAAAGGGGATTCAAAAACATTTAGAGAAGTTGAATCTTGCAGAGAAAGCAGCATTTTCCAATGAGAAAAGGACATTTCTTCACGAATCCATGAATAATCAAATATCTCCTGTTTCCACTTTGGATACCAAACAAAATGGAAACATGAAGTGTTTCTACAGTATTGGTGGTTATTTACACATCTTCACACCAAGACAGTGTGTAGTCCCCCAAGAAGCTGGTCTGATGCTCTCAAATCACTTTTGCAAGCACTTTTCTCTCAGAGCTCCTTGTCAAAAGCCTGGAATTTGCAACAATAGCTTGAGAAGTGCCAATCATTCTGAAAATGATTACAGACTATTTCATGAAAGCTTTTTTTCCCCTCCTTAAAAAGGAGTTGATGTGTCTTGTGAGAACACAAAAGAAAATTTGTTCTTTAACAATAACAGAAGATCAACATGTGAAAACCCCAGTCCCATTTTCAATATACACACATGGCTTAAATTGCTTTCACATGGGATGGGGATTTAAAAACATCCCTCATTAAACTTCAGCCAGATAGAATGGTATATTTATCCTCCCAGAGTAATGGATTCATTGCACAGGAGATGGCTGCAAATTCTGTCGGGGGCCGTGACATTGCCCATGCTTTATTCTGAACTTTGTGGGCAGCTCTGCCTGTCAATCTAGGACTTGTAAGACTCACGTTCCAGTATATGGTGACCTAGGGATATCTGGAAGAGATAATGCTGCCCGGATTTCTTCTCAGTTTCTTCTCCTCCCTTCCCTTTCATTCTGTCTGTTTATCCATCCTCTTTTTTTCTGTTTCCACTCTCCTTTCTCATATCTTTCATGAGTTCAGAGGGCGGGGGAGCATCCGTTCGTGATCTTCTGTGGTCACGTCACTACTGTCTCCTTCTATTTCTGTAATGTTTGCTACAATAAAAAGTGGTGAGAGTGGAAAGGGCAGGTTTCTAATACCTGTGAAATTCGGAAGAAGGAGGTTTCTCTTTGTCTAGGCATGCCTATTAAGTCTCCAGGAGAAGAATGGGTCTAATGGTAGGCAGACATCTAATTAGTGTCAGAAGGCAGGTTTTAACAAGGATCCCTTACCATGGTGGTTCGCATAGTCTGAATAAATAGAACATGTCATCTATTCTATTCAAAAAGCACACACACACTACATCATCCTTATTAGTAACATCATGGTGAGCACTCATATACAAGTAGGTTAATACTTGTATATGAGTGCTCACCATGGTGTTACTAATAAGGAGAGGAGGAAAAATATTATCATAGATTCCATCCTGGTGGACGTAGTCGACAATGATTATATAACCTATTGAAAAGTTATATTTTTATATTTTTATACTTTTATATTTTATACTGATTTTAATTGCTTAACTGTACCATTTTTGTTGCCTGATTGACTGATTTAAACTTTTTTAGCCAAAGCCATCCCATGTGTTTTAATAGTGTGTAATATTTGATTGTTGATACTATACAGCATCAAATGTTTGTCACTTTTGGTTTTTTTGTAAGACACCCTGAGTCCTTCTAGGGAGAGAGAGCAAGTTAGAAATAAAGAGTTCTTGTCCAGTCAGAACAGCTGGAAGGAAGGTTAATTCTGCTTTTTGATCCAGGTTGAGACAAAGAAAGTCTAAAGAAAAGGTGGAGAATTATTTGCCTGGGCAGGCTATTCAGAGCTGTTCTCCCTCCTTTTGCCACCGTCTTCGGCACAGGAATGTCAGTGGTTTGGCTGTAAACCTTTTATAACTATTCTTTGTTTCTGATGTTTCCTCTTGCCAGGCGTATTAAATCATGGGAGTTTTTAGAAAAGTTGCTCATAGGAAATGGCTCACCCAAAGAAAACTGCATTCTGTGTCCTTCCACATCCTTTCAGGGCTTGGCCAAGCAGACGCTTTTTGCCATGACCCCTGGCCGGACCTTTTCAAAAGCAGACAGCTCCCCCTGCTCTTCTCTGGGTAGTTTAGGTGACTTACAGAAAACATGCAGATGGCCTATATTTCATGGTTTTATGAGATGTGAAGTGAGATCTGTTCTAGGAGGCTAATTAGTTTTAAACCACTGTTTAGGAAGCCTTTCAAAGGCTTGTGTTCTTGTTAGTTTATTATCAGGCGCTGCCATCTGGCGTTGAGTTCAAACAAAATTAGGACATCAGCCTTGTGTTTCAGTCATGTAAGAAATGAATCTCCAGTAATGAGGAGGCAAGAGTGTTTTTGTTTTTCCCATTTTGATAGCTGGGCACATTGTGCTTAGCCAAGTCTCTGAAGACAAGGGAGATGGAGGTGAGATAGTTTGGAGCTGGCCAATTTCCTGCTTGGAGCATGTTTGTGCAGGGTGTTTGAAACCAAATGAACTGCAACCTGAAACCTTTTGAAGTCTTTCAATAAATTCCGTTTGCATACAGTCATTTACAATCACAAAACAAAGCTGCATAGAGGGCAGGGACACAACCTCTCAGTGACTTTTCCACACATTCATTTGCATAAAGAAAGAAAGTTTTCTGTACAAAGAAGTAGTCTGGGATGTTCCTATTTTTTAAAAAATAAAGTTTTATAAAATCTTTAGTTGTTTCAGTGGCCTCTGCAGTAGGCAAGAGATCCACATAATTCAGCAGAGATAATGAAAAAATGGGGTGAGGTTTATGTGTGGAGGAGAATATTTGCAAACTCTTATGACCAGTGGATAATCTCTAATCCTTGAACATACTGACTGGCATCCTGTTGAGAAGTTACAAATGTGTAGGCAAGGCTTAATTCATCCATTACTCTTTGGTATTCATGTTTATGATCATGGCACACCAAGTGACAGAAGTCTGTACTGCTGTATTTGCAAAATGCCTTTTGAAAGTATTTTTAAAACTGTTGTTCGTGTTTCCTTCGCCCTAAAGCAAGGCTAAGGATATGGACTGGATAACCCTTGTGGTCTCTTCCAACTCTTGGGGACCTCCAAGGCTGCGCAGCACTCCCCCAAAGGTCATGTGTGACTTCTGCAATCATTTTATGCTACCATTTCCACCATCAGTGCTGGCATTATTACATCCATCAGCAGGATCAAGGCCTTTGTGTATGTATGTGTGTCCAAAATATCCATTTGCCATGCTTTTAACATTTTCCTCCCTATCTTTTTTCTCCTCAGATATTTTAAGAAGTGCAAGTCTCTCTGAAAAAGAGCTGAAGGAAGCCAAAGCCAGGAGCCAGAGGATTGCCGCCCAGTTGACCACCCCACCCAACCCCAACTCCAAAGGAGTTCTCTTGTTTCACAGGCGCAAGCAGCGAGTGAATGCATTCACCTTAGAAACCCCAAAAGCCACCGATAGAGAACTACCTGCTGCTGACTCCACCTGCAGAGCTGTTACTCAGCACCAAAACATCCCAAGTTATGGGAAAGAGTCACATTGGAAGCACATCTTAAGAGACAACCGAGGACTCAAAGGTAGCTTACCTGGCACCAAGGATCCTGGGTTGTGGGGGCAAAAGAGCACCATGGAAAACTTACCTGGGTTAGATAATATGCAGGACACTCAGAGAAATACAATTAAAAGTGAGGAGAGTCTTTCCACAATGAACCCAACATTGTCTTCTGAAGAAACTTCACTTGAAGAATTTCAGCAAATTCCTCTTAGTGTCTACTTAAAGGAGAATACAGGGATGGTCTCGACCAATGGAATGCATGAGCTTTTCACCAATGAGATTGGAAAAGCACCTGATAACCAACACACCCCAGTCATCAGCAATATAGAAAATATACCACCAATTATTGATGACTTTGCTGTGCCTGCCACTGATAGTGAGAATAACAGTACAATACTTGGAAAAGAGCTGTATGTACCACAGGCAGACAGTGAAAATAATGTTCTTGCAAAAGAGCCATATTTACCAGTTATTGACAGTGAGAAAAATAGTCATATCCCCATCGAAGAGTCATATGTACCTATTACTGACAGGGAGAACAATATCATTCTTGAGAAGTTGGGGAGTGAAACAGTTCTTGACGGGAAAGAGAATGGAGAAATTATTCGCAAAGACCAGGATGTGGCGATTGTTGCTATTGAGAATGCTTTTCCTATCACTAACAGCGAGAAGCCCATTCTAATCACTGACTTGCAGCCCAGTGAAACTCAAACTCACACTACTAATAAACAGTACTGTGAAGTACGCTTGACTTTGTCTAAACCAAATCCCGTGAAGAACCGAACTGCAAGACCATTTGGGACACAGTCTTTGGTAGCAACCCACACACCAGAAGAGAAGAGTCCTGTGGTGGAATGTCCTCCACCACCCACCTATGCAGAAACCTTTTCCAGCCCTCCTCCAGTAACGAGAGTCAGGTCACCTCCAGCCTATTCAGCCCTGTATCCCAGTGAAGAACAGAAAGTCCCTGCTCCCCAAGAAGTTGAGTGTGAAGATAGCAGGCCAGGACCTCTGCCGGGAGAGAACCGAGAACCACCTCCAGCAAAAACAGGCATCCTTGAGGAATCTGTGGCCCGCAGATCAACCAAAAAATCAATGTTCACCTTTGTTGAGAAGCCCAAAGTGGCCCCAAATCCAGATCTTTTGCACTTAGTCCAGAGAGCAGACAGTAGGAAAAAACAAAAAGGACAAGGAGGAGCAATTGCTGAGGATGAACCATTTGCTTTGGGAGCAGAGGCCTCCAACTTTCTCTCTGAAATCCGAGCAGTAGATGGGCCCCTTCAGGCTCCTGCAGATAATAATAATGCACCAGAGTGGGCCTCATGTTTAAGGTCACCAAGAATACAACCCAAGGCTAAGATCAAGTCCAACCAAGGCCTCTCAGAGGCAAGAGGAAAGGGGGCAGAACTATTTGCTAAGCGACAGTCTAGGATGCAGAAGTATGTTGTGGAGTCCCCATCGCAACCAGATATCACCAGGTCACCTTCGCCTACCATTTCCCTCCCTCCCTCATGGAAATATGCCTCAGAAAACCATCTCTCGCCTATAGCCTTCCCCCAGCCCCCACCCAGAAGTCCAGCCAGGTCTCCCAAAGTTTCTCATGTACCTCTCTACCACAACAACATGTCAGAGAGTGAGCTCTCCAAAAAGGAGCTGGAGATCTCCAAGCAACAGCCATACCAGACCCAGTCTTCCTTGTTCATCCTTTCTCCAGTCAAAGATCCAGTGAGGTCCTTACCAAAAGCTGCACCACCCCCAAAGCCTGTGGTTCCTGAACTCAGTTACATGAGGCAGGCTTCTTGCCCAACATATCCCTTGCCACTTTCTCCAATTTTGCATCCATCTGCCCAGTCAAGTCCAAGTACATCATTTCCTAGCTATTTTGGCCCCTCAGCTGGGACTATGTTGATGCCTCAGAACATCAGAACGAGCATCGAAATGTCGCCAGAGCCTTCTTTTGAGTACTCTTCTAGGATCATGTCGCCAAGAGCTAAAGGGGTCTTCCAAGCTCCAAGGCCTTCTTATTCCACCAAGAATGCAGGGATTGAGCCTCAGGTGTGGAAACCTTCTTTTTACTACAAGTAATAGTTATTTTAAAGTATGTGTGTGAGAGAGTTTGAGCAAGTGACCAGCACCAATTGGTAGTGTGCAGAAGGAAAGAAACAAAAGCGAGTCAAAATGACGGCTTCTTGCAGATTATGTGTGCAAATACAACTTGCACATATAAACATATTTCACAAACCCAAGGCACTTTTTACATTGAGGAGACTGAGCTTCAGCAGGCAGGCTCCCTCGGGACATTTCTGGGGGAAAGCTCTGTGGAAGAAGCCCCATGTATCATGGTGCTCACATGTCTTGGTGGAGCCAGTGCTGTCAAAACCTGATCCATTGGATCCCTGCGTTTGTGCTGATTGAATTCCAAAGGGAGCTGAAGAGAGTGTAATGCAGTGCACAATAATAGCCTAAAATAGCTCAAGCTTAGGCATCTTTGAAGATTGTTAGCAGAAACTTGACTGAAACAGGAGGAAGTGTCTGGTGCCTTCTTTCTTCTAATGCCCAGAAACTTTATGGAGCATCAAATCTCTGGCTTCATCTCTGCCTTGCTTTGCAAATTTCTTCTTTCCTTTGTGGGATGTTCTTTCCTCTGTCCTATATACATCCAGAGTCGTCAGCATGACCTGCCTACATCCTCTCTACTTTCTGCTGATATTGAAAACTACATTGCTGTTTTCACCACTGAACATCTTTGATTTCAGATAGCACCACCTCCAACTTCCATCTGTTCCTGCCTCCTGTATGTTTTTATTCTTCATATAGTTTCCCCTCTGTACTTTTCTTACATGGTCTCCTTTTACCATCAACAGTGAGAGAGAGAAATGCCCCTTCTCCAAGAAAACAACCCCAGAACCTCATGGACTCCTTCCCACCTGTATTTCATACTTACCAGTGCTGGTTTACTTATCCTGCTTTGAAAGCTCACACAAAAACCCACACCTTACCATGGTGAATCTTCCCTTCTGACCCATGAGTTTTCTGCAGGTCTTGTAGTGTTTGTTCACAGAAAGACAAGGTGGGTCTGTTCATAGTTAATTCACATTAGCAGTTAGGAGAGTACGAAAAACATTTTTGGCACAAGCAGATCCCTAAGCAACTGCAACAAGTGCGATTTTAATACCTTTCAGCACATTTTAATACTTTTATCATGCTGAATTTTACTGCCCTCTTGACTTCATATGTATCTAATGAAAGAATAGTGGCCATCTCAGGTTGAAAATATTATTTACAAATCAATCAAGCACAAATTTGAGTTCAGGCAAATTCTACTACTTTGGCACCTTACATGTAAGGAAATCATTTCATGTTACTTACTTCCCTGCAGTATTCCTCTGCTGCCAGGACTATTGAGCAGGTACTGATGAAAGGCCACCTCACCCTATTTCCTACCTTTGCAACAATTATTGTTTTCCAGAGAGTAGGGTGCTGTTTTTACTACAACTTTCCCTATCCTTCACTGCTGAGCTTTTTGGCTGGGGGATTTTGAGAGTTGTGATCCAAAATAATCCACTTTACAATCTGTGTTGTTTACCATCCTTTTATGGGATGGCTCTAAGCCACCTTCAATATGACCCTGGGTCTATTAATAAGATTCACACAATTTTTCTGATAATGACACACCAGACTTTGGCTTAATATTTTTGACAATTTGGCCACTTTATTTGTTTGCCTCTGATTGGAGCTTAATGTGAATCATAACAGTGTGGGAACTGTAAACTCTGCACAACATATGTGTACTGTTGTTGTACACCTCCTGAGGCTAAGAGAGTGTGACTTGCCCAAGGTCATGGCTGAATGGGGTTTCATAGTCCAGTATTCAAGCCATTATGTTATGCTGGCCCCATACCATGGTACAAACTGGCAGAGGGGCAGCTTTCAATTGTACATGAATTGTGGCATGGGCTTCGGCACCCGCAGAGCAAGCTAACCACAGCTTGACCTTCAGCCAGACTCCACAAAACAGGTGCTGCATCAGTCTGTCAAGTGAAGAGTCTCCAGCAAACCCAGCACTTAGCACTTTATTTTAGACTCATCCCACCCCATGACTTTTTGGATCAGCAAGTTCTGTGTGGCGACACATTGTAATAAATATGCGAGACAATACATGACAATCATAGATGCCACATATTTATTTAATCCACTGTAACCAATTATCAGAATTTCATATCCTTCTGCCTCTGTCTCTTTTTTCCTTTTCTCTGTGTGCATTCTTGCTTGGTTGTCTGACAAATCCTTCTGTGAGGATGTGGGTGGGGAGAGTTACGTTTTTGCCACAACACTTTTAAAAAAAAAACAAAAAACAAAAACCACAAACCGAACCCTTTGAATAAAGGGTGTTGTTCATACACCAGACTCAAACTGGTTGGCTACATGAGATGTAAAAAAACTTTACACACAATGTTGATTTCATTCCCCTCTAACATTTCTATCCCAGATTAGAGAATAATCCAGATTCAACTACTAGATTGAAGGTTCATGAGCAGAAACTCTTCTAACTAGATAACAGGTACCAGACGCCAGTTGCATGGCAGACTACCTGCCAGTTGAGCTAATTCTACCCGATTCTGTTGTAAACATACAACTATATGTAAAGAAACAGAGGAAACCTGTGTAATGCAATTGCACTTATATAACAGATGCTGTGGTGGGGCAGTGTATGTATGATATGCCATGTGATTAGAGAAGGGATAGTTAGAGAGGCCACAGGAAAATTACAGAGTAAGTGCTAGGCATAGCAGCTATGGGATAGCTAGATATTTATAGAGTGAAGGCTTTGGTGATCAACTCTGGAGGCACATTTGTTCATCCCGGCAAAAGATACAAATTCATACTGCTGCCTCCTTAACTTGGCCACAGAAAATTTGCAGTTGAATCAAGGCCCAGTGACTTTTCCCGCTTCCTTCCTAAATCCCAGAAACATTTCATAGTGAGAAGTTATTTTTAAAAATACACACCTTGCTTACTGTGAATACATAAGAACAAGTATAGCATAAAACTTGAAACAAAATGACAATCTTTAGTACTTAGTAAGCTGGTTAGTTGAATATTTCTATTATAATATATATTGGATGAACTCAAGCTAGTGTACAAAAAATAAATTTAAAACAATTTGAAGCAACAAGAATAGTGTAAAACCTAAAAGCGAATTAAGTCATTTAACCTTTAAAGCAAGACAGATTTAAAGCAGTTAAACAACTTAAACTATTCACATGTGCACAGCTGAACAAAATCAGGTATGTCCCAAAGTTTTAGTGACCTTTTAAAAATTGTGCACCCAAATGATAACAGTGTGGGCATCAGTCAGGCCTCTAAGGAAAAAGTATTTAAAACGTTTACGACAACAGGGAAGGCTCTGTCCCAAGTCCTCCCACAGCATATTGCCCTGACTGTTGAAGGGTTCCTTCAGCAGACTTCAGACCTTGGGGAGATAGATACAAATGCATTAATACATGTCCAAATATCTAGCTTAGGCCCCTTCTACACTGCCATATAAAATCCTACCGCTTTGAACTGGATTATCTGCTTTGAACTGGATTATATGGTAGTGGAGACTCAAATCATCCAGATAATCTGGGATCAGATCCTGTGATATAGAGCAGTATAGAAGGGGCCTTAGGGTAGTCAAATTGCAACCCTTTGCCTTCATGCTTTTCCAAGACTGTTTAGTGGCCCTCAGATTTCCAGACTGTCCTTATGTTAACCAAAAAAGGTCAAACAGCCTTTTCTGAAAGTTTTTAGCAGTGACAAATCATTTTACAGGTTGATTTATAGGATCCCCTCCACTATTCACATTGAACTATATGCATCACATGCATACATGCCTACATATTTATGTAATTTTTTAAAAAGCTATTCCCAGTTTAGATTTTTAGTAGTCCGTGTGGCCTTTGGAATATCATGGAGCAGAAAGTTGACCCCAAGACTCACCATGTCTGCTCTAGCCCTATCTGACAAAGAGGGCTGGTTTCTCACCAAACTACAGCTCCCAGGATTCCATATCATTGAGCCATGGCAGTTAAAGTGATATGAAACAGCATCAGTACAAATTTTAAAGGAGTTATTCAAGGTGATGTACCTATTTCCATGACACTGTTCAGTACCTTGGAGAGCACTTTTAAAATGCAGGCTGAAACCTTGGGGACATGGACTGCTCCAGTAGCATGAGAGTCTCCAACTACCACCACTCATCCTTTAGAGCAGTGGTTCTCAACCTATGGCTCCCCATGTGTTTTGACCTACAATTCCCAGAAATGTTAGGATTTCTGGGAGTTGGAGGTCAAAACTTCTGGGGACCTACAGGTTGGGAACCACTGCTCTAGAGTAAAATCAACACTCCCTACTGCCCCATTTCAGATGTTACAATATTAGAAAGAAAATAATTTTGGCATCTCTCTTTGCTTAGATGTGACATTCTTCTAGAAGAGAGAAAAATTGTCACAATGGCTAGGGAATATTGACATCCGTAGTCCACAAAAGTTCCTTTCCCCAGCTCTGTTGCAGACTTGCTCAATGAAAGGGTGACACAAACTCAGACATGGTTGCCCATTAATCAGAGGTCTTTGCTACTGAAGTGCCTTGAATGGAGTCCAGCAGGATAAACCTAGTTGGATTCACGATGTCTTCCTGAGGAAGGAAAAAGAGAGCGACCTTATTACAAAAGGCCATAAAAAGGAACGCCCTGAAGAACAAAGCAGTAAGGAAGCATTCATTCATCCAATGTCTTTCCTTCAGGGCTTAAAATGCAATAGACAATTTCAAGATGCATAAGATAGGCCATATCAGGAAACCAAAAGAAATTATTTTGCTGCCTCTATGCATGTACATTACTTATTATGGAAGTGTTTTTCTTCACTCTGCATTAAGATTGGCACACAAGTGGCCTTTCAAATATTGTGAGACTGTTCTCCCATCATCTCTCACCATGAGGCATGCTGGCATGAGATGATGGAAACTGCAATCCAACAATATTTGGAGATCCACATATCCCCCAGCTCTCATGT